TTATTTTACAGTTAAAATAAATGTTTATCAAATAAAGTCTAATGTTACAACTAATCACAGATCCCTTTAAATGGGTTAAATACTGTCTAATCCAAAAATTCCTCAGGTGGGAGGGGAAAACATTCTGTTCCATCCTCTTTATGTCTAAAGATTTATTTTGATACCAAGATTATTTACGTAGAGTTTGTAAAAGCTGAGATTCACTCAGTTATATCAAAACTCTTTGGGGCTGAAGAGGTTTTAACTGATCCACTTAAACTGATTCTGTTGTTTGTCTAAAAACAGAGTAAAAAGTTGTACTTTTATTGTTTAAAAGCTCAAACACACCAGCTGTTATTGGTCATATATCAGCATTAAAACCTGCTGCGTTAGTGGTGAGGGTCATTTCTAACTGCTGGTGTTAGACGTGACTCCAGCATGGAGCAAGCCTGGTGCAACACGTTGCTGTCATCGTGTGAAGGTGAATAAATCACAGTTTGTTTGGGCTTGCACTGCCTCACACTTTCCTTTCTCCTGGTAGTGACAAACTGTTTGCTGTTTGCCTCTAAATTTGCAACAGATTGAGTCAGACTGTAAGGAGGGGAAAAATGTAAGTTTTTCTTGTCTTTTTGGTGAATATCTGGGGATAACGTGATATTTAAGGGCACAAAACCAACAAACAAAGAATAAAGTGCTTTTTAGGCAGCTTCACAGTCAGCGTGCAGCATTCAGGTTGACACAGAAAACAGGTGAGGAAAAAAACACAACAAAGACGCAGACACGATATCTTTAAGAAGGAAATGGATGAAATTCAAAAGAAGGAAGCGACTGGGACATACTGAGAGAAAGAGATATGAAAGTTCAAGGAGAGGAAAACAAATCAACACAGATTGACTCTCACACATGAATCATTTCAGTTGTTTTCTCTTCTTTGGCTTTGTGTGGAAACAGACTTTTGTGTTTGCTTCAGTCTTCAGCTGACAGACTCTGAAGCATCCGTCTGCTCCGTCGCACAAACGTAAACCTTCAAATCGAGCTCAGCTGCGTGTGCAAAGAAAAGAAAACGGAAAGAGCAGTGCACTGAAAAGAGAGTAAATAAATTAAAGTGATGGATTAACCCAGGGTGACATAAAATTAAATCCAGTCCTGGTCTTAAACCAGTTTGTAACAAGATTTGTTTTAAAATGAAGGACTTGTGTCATCAAATGGGAGACTTATATCCAACTGGTTCTTATTCCCCTCTGTATAAGGACTGTTAGTCCCACCAGGAGCTGTGAAACCAGGGTCTCACTGGGACTGTTGGTGAGCCCAAAAGGTCTTTGCAGGAGTTTTCAGTTTCCTTTGCATGAGTTGGTAAAAAGCTTGTATTCTTCTCACTTTAACCTTTAACATGTTCCAAAGCTTTACGTGGTCGTAGAGTCTCAAGCTGTGTTTCCGTTGACCATGAAAATGAGCAAATTAGAATTTCTAAAATAAATCTGCTCGATGGAAACACGTCAATTTCGAAAAAAAATTATGTTTTTCGACAAAATGTTTTTGCACTAGGATGAGGTGGATTTTCAGCCGTATTGAAATTAGTGTTTTTTGCAAAACTGCAATGGAAACACTTTTTTCACATCACAGGAGTCACGTGATCAACAACCGGCTGTTTCTACTGGTGAAAAAGARYARGATGAAGATAACAGGAAGTAGAAGTAGTAGTAATATCACA